AAATCGGTCCACACTAAGGCGAGCCCTTCGCCACCGTCATCAACTAAAACCGCCCCCCAGCCAGCCCAAGATAATTCTGGAACCTGGTGGGGCACGCGAGAACCAGTCACGAATCTTGGTCCTTGACGGCCCGCAAAGTCGGTCTTGCCGGCAAAGTCCCGCCAATCCACCTCTGCCCGTGCTGGTATCCTCGCGAACTGGGCGGGGCGCCAAGCGTCGCAGGGGCGAGGGAAAAGGGTGGCGAGGAATAGGAGGCAGACGCAGATCCGCGGAATTCGATGCCGCCCTCGATGGAAACAGGGGGCTCTCGCCCCTCTGCCTGGGCAAGGGCGGGCGGGCGCCGCCGCAGCCCGCGCAGCGCGGCGTCCTTGCTCCCCTGCCGGGATCGCGAGAAGGCAGTCGATTGGATGCCCCGCCAGAGGCGCGCGAGGAGAGGCCCAGCGAGCCGAGCGCGAGACAGCCTCAACCCGCCCCTCGTCGTCTGAGTGGTTCGCCTGGCGGCCCCCGACTCAGCCGCGGCGGTGCCGCGGCGCGCGCGCGCGCCCCTGGGGTGCCGGGCGAGAGCTTGGCGCTCGGCCCCCGCTCGCGCGCTGGACAGCGGTGCGCAAAAAGCTCGCGCGACATCCCAAAGAGGGAGTCCAAGGAGACTTCGGCTCCGAGTGCGTCGAGGCGGGCGGCGAAGGAGGGCGCGGACACCTCGGCGCGCCGCAAGGGAAGATCTCACCGCGCCCAGGGGCCCCGCAATCCCCCGCAAGTCGAGGGGCCTCCCCGAGAGAGAAACCTCGGCCCGCGAAGCCCAAAGTTGGCCCCGGGGAGTCGCGCGCAGGGGATGACCGCGCTTCGTTCGCCCAAGTTGAAGGGGCCCTGGGACACACAAATAAATGCGCACAAATGAAAAGGATTATACTTTGTTTTAAGTACTTGTTTTACTTTTTTGGGTTTTTGTCTTCCCCCCAATTCCAATATTTTCCTATATTTTCTGGGGAATCGACGATCAATTGTGTCTGTGTGTTTCTTTCCCTCCTGAGAAGTGTCCGCGGCGCAATGTGCGGCGCGGGGGCCGCGCCGCCGCGCCGAAGCTGGCAATCCGTTCTCATCGCCGCGGCGCGGGGGTACGAGGTCCAGCCGGCGTCTGCGCAGAGCGCGGGCGGGCGAGATCCGGGGCTGGCGCCGCTCGGCGCTGGAGAGGCCTTGGGGATGGACAGACCCCCCTTTAGTAAAACGTGGTTTAGTGAAAACGACCCGAGGCCCAAACCTGGCGGGCGCAAGCCTGGGAAATAACGGCCGCGGCGCCCTCTCGAGAACCGAGAACGGACAATTCACTAATCGACATGTTACTGTTGGGGGTTCTGCCCCTCCCCGAAGACTGTGCGCCCCCGTGCCGCAGAAGAAGCTCGGCGTGGGCCCTGCCGTGAGGATCCGACGGGGACGGTGTCCGAGAGCCTGCGTGAGACGACCGGACAGCCTGGGCCGCGTCTGGGAGTCCTGCTTTCTGGCTGGAACTTCTCGCCGCGTCCAGCCGCGCGACGAGGGCCCCCCGCGGCGTCGTCGACTCCTGAGCTGCTCGTAGAGGGGCACATCTGGCCAAAGAAAGCTCCCAATTGATCGCGTAGCTCCGAGGCCAGAACCGAAAACGAAGTGACGAGGGCGGTTTTGGCTTCCGAAATGGCGGCCCTCATTCTTCCTCGACGGGCCGCTTGAAGCCCTGGGCCAAGACGCCCTGACTTTTGATCGCATCTCTAGCGGTCCCAAGGCCTCGGCCGTCGTCCTCTATGTAGACGTCCAGGGTGGCCCTCGGCAGCAGCCGGAGTCTGTAGATAGCTGGGATAGCTCGCGCGCGCATCGGCGAGATAGCCGAAGAGCACCCGGCCGCGGCTCCGCGCTGAACGAAAAGCCCCCGATGACCACGCCGGCCACGAAAGCGCGTCTGCCGAGGCGACGGGCGCGAACGGCGAGGCGACCGAGCTGAACTGGAAAACTGAACTACCTGCATCGAACGAGAGGGATGCGCAAATCAACGAGCTTGTAGTATGTGTGCATGTTCCAAAGCAAGGTCTCCAGAACTCCCCCTGATTTCACCGCCGCTTCACTCCGCAGCGCCGCCGGCAGAGGTGGGGCCGGCAGCTGAGAAGCAAAGCTGCTCGAAGGACTTCGCCCGAGCGCGCGCGCAGAAGGCGGCGCCGCCCCCGTAAGCGGCGCGCGCGACTGAAACCCGTTGGGGCAGGATCCGCCCAGGTTCCCCGAGCGCCCCTTGACCGCGGCGCTGAGCTGGATCGGACAAAGGCTCGAGGACTCCATGGTGCCCGGGCCCCCCGAGCGCCCCTCGACCGCGGCGCTGAGCTGGATCGGGCAAAGACTCGAGGACTCCTCCACGGTGCCACGAGGGGCGAGCGCCGTTGCCGAGGCTGCCGAACGGCCCCGCGTGAAATCCGCCGACGGCCTCGCTGGCCCATCCACTGATAGTTCCTGCTCGAAGACGCGAGAGCCCCGGGATCGAGCTCAGAAAGGGGATCCAAATACTCAATCTTGCCGTCATGTCGCTCGGACGTCCATTTCCCGTGCATTGTTCGGTTTCGTGCGTGTTTTTCCCGCTCGATGATCCAATCTGTTTTTCAAGGGTCCTCGCCGAAAAAAAAATACACACGTCCGAGCGATGCCAGGCAAACGACTCGCTGCAAGCTGGGCGGGCGGAGGCCTGCCGGAGCTCGCGCAGCGCCCGGGCCTACATCCCAGAGCGCCCGAGGAGCGGGCGCGACGCCGCCCGCGCCCGATGGCGGCGGTGGGCCCCCAGTGGCCAGGGCCGCGGAACGGCCGACGGGCCCTGCGAGTTCCCCTGTCCACGGGGACCAACAACCGATTGGAAAGGCCCTTGGTCGCGTCGTGCATTCGACGCGCAACCCCGCGCGCACAAACCTAAAAGGGCGCGCAAGACTCCTCGCCCTCAGAGAAGTCGGGGGGGGGGTCGGAGGTGGGGGAGGGGGGGGGCGACGGCGCGGGCTCCGTCGTGCCAGCGGACGCGCGCCGCCGCCCCTTCGGTGAGGATGTCGTCCGGCGCCCTCAATGACAGAAACGCCCGAGCAGATTCGGCGAGGGACCTCCTCCGCACAGGGCTCCAACCTTCGCCAAAATGTGGGTGCCCCATCGCATCGACGATCTCTTCAGAGGGGCCGTCGAAGCCGAGGGTCCCCCAAGAGGGGTACAGTGGAGGCGAGTCCAAAAGAAACCTCCCACAAGAAACCCAACCCTGAGGCCCCAGAGCGTCCATCGATTTTCAGTGTGGGAGCCCCGGCGTGGGACTGGGGGTGGGGGTGGTTTTACGGGGTCCAAGAAAAGAGAAAACGCCCCAACTCCCAGCCCCTGGCCCTTGAATCGCCAGCTCGGGGATGGGAGTCGGAACTGGGGGTGGGGGTGGGCTTTCTCCTTCTGATCTTGAGCCCCGCATTGTCTCCAGACTCCTGCAGGAGGGCGCCGGGACACATCCCGACACAGCTGCACAGCTCCGCTGGACCCCGCCCTGGTACTACGGGGAGGCGGAGGGGGGCAGAGGGCGACGCCCCGCACGGAACATCAGACTAAGCATTAAAAAATAAGAGCATCAACGGAGATAAGGGGGGGCTCAAATCAAAAACCTTCCGTGGTTACCAACTACCCATGAGTTAAACCCCTGGGGATAATAAGGTTCGGGGTCTGGGGGGATAATAAACGATTTCCCGGGCGGAGGATGATGGTGATGATGAAGATGATGATGATGCTGATGATGATCCTGGGCACTCGTGTAACTAGATCCTCGCACAAGTCTTCGAGCCTCGCGCTTAAAGGTGGCCTGCGCAGGAGAGGTCCTGCCACACGCTCGTGACTTGCGAAAGCTGAAATGATGAGGCATCCATGGCCATGCTCAGCGTTTTGATGATGCTGCTAGTCAACATAATAAGATAGCAACTTCGATTCGCAACTTCCCCGCGAAAATCAAGTTCGGCCTCGCCGCCCCTCTCCACAATCAAGTTTGTCTGACCCGGGGGTGCTCTTTATTATCCGGGGGAAGCGGTTATTTGTCCCCCAGGACGGCGCCAGGACACGTCCCGATACAGCTCTGCTGTAGACCCAGCCCTGGTACCACGAGGAGGCAGGGGGGGGAGGAGGAGGAGAAGGTTTTTTATTTTGGACGAACGCCCTGCCCCACCAGCTAGCTCACTCTCTGATGGTGACCGCTTCCACCCGAAACTTCTCCTTCGAATGCCAACCCCGCTTCATCCTGGACCAGTACTCCGCCGCTTTGGCGAGTGGACGTGTGCACTCATTGCGAAGCTGCTTAAATTGTCCGAGGGTCGAAAACGCTTTGCAGCGATGATCATAATATGATCGCTCGCACACTCCAAGGCTAGGCAGGAGCGGCCACGATCAACAACAGAACGAGCAACTGGGGGCAAGTCACCAGCGCAGCCCTCGTCAGCGGGGCGCGCTGCCTGCCGTCGAAATCTGAGACATCGATTGCACCTCCAAAACGTTTTGACCCACACCCAAATGTGCACCCCCTCGGGCGCCTCGGCCCCAGGACGGGGGGGGGGCGGGGAGGGGCAAGGAACGGTACATCAGACAGGTCCAAACGTGGCCAAGAAACGAGCACCTCGGCGGCAAGACGCGAGACCATTCGGGAGACCTTAAGCTGCCACTGCAGCTTGCACGGAGCACGCGGCGCATGGTCCTGCCGAAGAGCGGCGCTTTCGGTGCCCGCGCCCGGTGGCCGCGGGCGGGTGCCTCGCGGGCGCCCCCGTGCGCTGGGTGGGTCTGCCAGCGGTTTGCATGATTGTCGTAATAGCCGTATGGTTGTGTATATAACATATATGTATAGGTGTAGATCTGTATGTGAACACACAAAGACACACATACACACACATACAAGCACCGACACAGGCACAGACACAGACACAATCACAAGCACAAACATAACCACACACACAAGCACAATCACAATCACACACATACATGCACATACAAACACATACATACACATACAAACACAAACACAGACACAGACACAACCACACACACTCAGACAAACACACACACAAACACAACCACACACACAAACACAAGCACGAGCAAAAACACACACACAACAAGAACGGAGGGGAACAAGCGCTATGACCATATGGGTGGGTCTGTCAGCGTTTCGCATGGCTTTAATATACATCTGAAACGCGGGGAAGCAACATGAGCATCAACACAAAAGCACGCCATAAACCTAACCGTTTGGCCCTCCGCGCGGATTTTTGGGATCTGCATGGTGCCCGCCCATGGCAGGATCGGTCGGCATCGCATCGGCAAATCGGCACGAATCGAAGTGTGCCGCATCGGCTCCGAATCGAAATCGCATCGGATCGGCCGCGCCAGGATGCACCTCGGCGGCCTGCAAGCATTGGGCCGCATCGGATCGTCAACGTTCAGTGCGAGCGCGGCCCCAGGTAACCCTCGCAAGAAACCCAACCCTGAAAACCGCGCGCGAAGTGCACCGGAGGGGAAACCTGGAGCACTCTGAACGCAGCAGCTCCTTCAACGGCCGCGGGAAGTCGCCGCGCAGCGCGCGGAGCGAAGAAACCCAGGATACCCTGACGAAAAGCAGATGGTTTCTTGATGCGCGCCCCCACTGTATCGGAATCGTCAGCGCCCCTCCAACGGGGCTCCACTAACGGATACTTTGGCCAGTGACCCGGCGAACCCAACCATCTCCGATGTGGGCAAGGCTGCAATGCCAGGAAGAGACCCTCAAGTCGCAACTTCAGGCAGCTGTCCAAAAGGCCTGTTAGTGTTAGTGAGTACCCGTCACGGTGCCGCTGAGGAATCGGGGGCGGCCACGAGGGCGGCGTCCAAGAGCGAGGGACGCAAATCATGGCCGGCGGCATGTGCGCGGCCCAGGGGGGAGGGGAGCCAGGGACGCAGTGAAGCAAGACGAGGCGCCGTGAAATCGGAGGAACTACCTCCCCCATCAGCCTCACAGGGGTCGGCGGCCCACCCCGCCCCTGGCCTTGACGACGCCGTCCGACGAGGCACTGAGCAGCAACCCCCCGCCGCCGGAATCGCCAGCCGTCGCCAGCGCGCACCTTGGCGGGCACGCTTGGAGGAGGAGGAGGAGGAGGAGGAGGAGGAGGAGGAAAAGGAGGAGGAAAAGGTGGAGGAAGAGGCGGAGGAAGAGGAAGGATGAGGGAGGAGGACGGAGGAGGAGTAAAAGGGGGAGGAGGAGGAGGAGGGGATGGTGGGTTGGGGGAGGGGGGGTGGCTAGGTGGAAGGAGGAGGAGGAGGAAGGATGATGGTAAGTGTAGGAGGAGGATGAAAGAGGTGAAGAAGAAGGATGTAGGAAAAGGTGGAGTATGAGGTAGGCGGGAGGTGAGAGCGGCGGAGGATGGGGTATTGGGGGGATGAGGGGGAGAGGCAAGCTAGGTGCGCTCGCGTCATATCTGACGTCCTACCCCTCACCCTCCTCCCATCCCTTAACATTGCCGGCCCTTTGATTTTCTCTATCCGCGGACGCGGCGTCGTAGCGACCTGTTGGCTCCGCGCGCGCCGTGCGTGTGGGTGGTGGTGGTGGTGGCGGTGGTGGAGGTGGTGGTCGTGAAAGTGTGGTGGTTGGTGGTGGTGGTGGTGGTGGTGGTGGTGGTGGTGGTGGTGGTGGTGGTGATGGTGGTGGTGGTGGTGCTGGTGGTGGTGGTGCTGGTGGTGGTGGTGGTACTGGTGCTGGTGCTGGTGGTGGTTGTGGTGGTGGTGGTGGTGGTGGTGGTGGTGGCGGTGCGGCGCGGTGGTGGCGGGCGGATGGGCGCGCGAAAAAAAGGCCCGCGCTGGGGCGAGAACGCCATCCTGAACGACGGAGGCCAAACACCGATCCGAAAATGAGGCCCACGCTGCAGCGGGAGCACGATTCGGAACGATTCGGGAGCAGAAATGAGGCCGGCGCCTCAACGAGAGCAGCATTTTGGGAAAAAACGACGCCGGCGCCTCAGCGAGAGTCGTTTCCCGGGATTTCCCGGGCATCCTGAAAACAGTACGCGGAGGGTGCGCGGCTATCACCCGGACGCCATCAGGGGAAGGATTCGGGAGCAGAAATGAGGCCGGCGCCTCAACGAGAGCAGCATTTTGGGAAAAAATGACGCCGGCGCGAGAGGAGCATTTTGGGGAAAAATGACGCCGGCGCCTCTGCGAGAGTCGTTTCCCGGGATTTCCCGGGCATCCTGTGTGTAAAAAATAATACGCGGAGGGTGCGCGGCTATCACCCGGACGCCATCAGGGGAAGGGGGAGAGTATATTCATATTGAGTAATTGTGGAGGGGGAGGAGGAGGAGGAGGAGGAGGAGGAGGAGGAGGAGGAAAAAGAAGAGGAGGGGGAGGAACAGGAGGAGGATGAGGAGGAGGCAGGAGGAGGAGGAGCAGGAGGAACAAGAGGAGCAGGAGGAGGGAGAAGAGGAGGAGGGAGAACGGCCAAGGATGGCGGCTGGCCCACTGGGGGCAACATTGGCACGGAAGCGGCGATGCGCCGCCGACAGATCGGCGGCAGGCCTTCGATATAGCGAGACCGCACTCTCCTAGACGGGGCAGGCCAGCCGCCTCCTTGGGGGCGGTGACTGGGCGATCGGGGGTCGATGCAATCACCCTTTCTATAGAGGGGGGACAAAACAGATCCCAAGGGATTGCGCGCTGTGTCAGTGTCTGACCCTGCCAGAAAACGCGTGGAACAACAACTACTGATGCGGGTGCTGCTATGGCCAACGACCACCAAAAACGCGACCGTTGTGCGCAACGCCAAATTGACGACGCCGTAATTAGAAGAAAAAACAACGGCATAAACAGAAACTTTGGGAGGTCCGCGCCGATTTTTGGGATCTGGGTTAGAACCCTATCCCTGGCATGCGGAGCGCGCCAGGTGCGGCGCCGGAGGCGCCGCCAAGAAATCCGCGCAGTCCGCCAAACGTTGAGATGTTTATGGCGTTTATTTTTTTCCGGATAGGCCCTACACACCAATCGGAAGACGTAGGTACACAAAAATTCAGTACGCAGGCGGATAAAGCAGATTGGGCTCGGGCCCGCCCAAAAACAACAAACAACGGCCAAAACAGATCGATTATGAAGCAAGAAGGCTCTTGAATTTGGACGCCCGAAATGGGTACGGAAATAATGGGCACAATGCCCGTTCATTTTGAAAAAGGATTCGCTGTCCACGCCGCCGCGGCCTGTGTCCATTCGAGACAGAAGGCCGCGTGCCCAACAGCGGCCGCTGTTGGTTTGGAGCACCATTTGTTGTTGGGCACTGTGCCCATTCTTTCCGTACCGTCTTCGGGCGTCCAGATTGAAGTAGATCGCGCTCTGGGAACCCCAGAAATATCTACCTTCAACTACCGATGGGCACAGGCCTGCGACGGCCATCACACATGACATCCAGGGCCGATGTTGCGAGGCGGGGATTTGTCCATCTCCACTGCCCGGGAACCGACGTCCTGGTGCCCCAACGGGCGGCGGGTGTGAATACATTCCCTCATACCACGCGCAGCCGCTCGAGGGTCCACTAAGTTCAGAGCAGAGTCGGAGAAGACGCCCTACATGCCGCCGCGCTGGTCCCGGGCAAGCTGTGCGGTGTGGCAGAAATGGACGAGGAGGGGAGAAGTAGGCAGACGACGACGAACGCCCAGGCAGGAAGCCAGGGCCCGCGGGGCGGGCGGGCAGACAGAAAACGGGCCAGGCGGAAACAGCAGGCAAGGAGCAGGAGGAAAGGAAAGGGAGGGAAGCAACAAGCAGAAGCGGAGGGAAAAAAGGGGGAGGGAGAGGAGGAGCAGCAGCAGCAGCAGCAGCAGCAGCAGCGGCCGCAGCAGCAGCAGCAGCCGCAGCAGCAGCAGCAGCGGCAGCAGCAGCAGGGCCAGGCCAGGGGCCGGGAGGGAAAGGCCACCCGCGACGAACCTACGGACACTACGGCGGCGACAGGGGGGTCGGTGTGGGCGTCGGGGAAGGCGTCGGGGGGGGGTCGCGGGCGTAAGGGCGTCGGCGGGGTCGGCCGTGGGCGTCGGGAAGGGCGTCGGGGGGGGGGGCGACCGAACCCACCGCGCTGCGGCTTGGTGGGGAGGGAACCTCTGCGGTATCGCCCACCGCCCTGCCGAGGCAAGGACGGCCGGCAGTGCGGGGGGGCGCCGGCGCGTCATCCGCGAGAAGGGGCACAGGGGGAGGCGCCCGTACTGCCCAGCCAGGGCGGGGGGAGTGGGCAGGGGGCGTTAAGCAGCGCCCGGCGGCGCTCACACGGCGTCCGCCGTGGAGGCCGCCGTGGCCGCGGCCAGGCGGGCCACGACCGCTCCCGCCCCTCCAGACTGTGCCTGGAGGCGCTGCGACGCCGCCCGCGCGTTCTCCCTGTGCAGGGAGACGGAGAGTCGCTGGGCGTGTTGGTCCGCTACCAGAGCGGCGTCTCCTGGCGTCAGCCACCCGCTTGGCCAAGACCCCTAAGGCCCTGCGCGCCTCGCGGCCCCACCCGCCGCCATGGGCCTCCACCGCCATGGGGATGAAGGTGAAGCCCTGCTCCGCGCGCAGCCGCGCGGTGTCCTGGTGCTGCCTCTTAAACTCCTCGTATCGTTCCGTCGGCGCGCTGGACGACGCGGCCGACGCGGTGAGGACATCGGCGCGCAACCCGGACGTGGCGGCAAAGTCCCAGGCGGCCGCCGTGCCATTGCGCCACCTCGGCAAGTAGACGTCGGCGGGGCGGCGGCCGTTTTCGTCCACCTGGAATCCGCCCTGCTCGCCCCCGGGGATGGCCTCCCCGGCGGGGCGCGTGGGTAGCAGCCCCGGGCGCTCCAACTCAGCCCCGGCATGACCAGCGGCCAGGGCGTCGAAAAAGGCCTGGTTGCGCAGGGCGCTGTGGCGTTTGGTCCTGTCGCCGCGGCAGGCGCAGACCAAGGCGTGGTCGCAGTAGACATCCATCACCTCGCCACAGGCTGGGCAAAAACACTCCTCCTGCAAAAGCTGGACTCGCAACCGCCTCTGCAGGCCGACCTGCATGAAACCGTGCGGGAAGGCGGTGCCGGTGGCCGCGCAGGGCGGCGCATGGAGCCACACCAGGGAAAGGTGCGCTTTGCCAGCCAGGGCGGCGCCCGCCAGGAGCCCTTCGAGCGTGCCGCTGTCCACCGCGTCGGAGAGGGCTTTCTGGTTGCTGTGCTGGGCGTGGTCGAACACCACCTTGTCGGCGTCCCGCACGACTGCGTTGTGAGCCTGCACCGCCGCCAGGAGGAAGGATGAAAAGGAGCAGCAGCAGCAGGAGGAGGCGGAGGAGGAGGAGGAGAAAGAGCAGGAGGGTGAGGAGGAGGAGGAGGAGGAGGAGGAGGAAAAAGGAGGAGGAACAGCAGCAGCAGGACAAGGATGAGCAGGAGGAGGAGGAGGAGGAGGAGCAGGAGGAGGAGGAGCAGGAGCAGGAGGAGCAGGAGGAGGAGCAGGAGGAAGAGCAGGAAAGGCAGGAGGAGCACAAGGAGGAGGAGGAGCAAAAGGAGGAGGAGGAGCAAGAGGAGGAGCAGGAGGAGGAGGAGGAGAAAGAGGAGGAGCAGCAGCAGGAGGAGCAGGACGAGGAGCAGCAGCCACGCCACCTCCTCCCCCCCCGCCACTCAACCGCGCCGACGCATCCTCGGGCGGCGAGGCGGCCGAGGCGCGGGCACGCGCCCGGCGTGGGCTGCCTCGTGTGGGGGGGGGGGGCAGTGGGGCGAGGCAGTGGGGCGCGGGAGGGCCTTCTCCTTCTCCTCCTCGTCGTCCTCCTCGTCCCCCGCCTGGCGCTGGCGCTGCCGGCGGCACTGCCGATTTCCTCCTCCTCCACCTCCTCCTTCTCCTTCTTGTCCTCCTCCTCTTCCTCCGCCTGGCGCTGCCGCTGCTGGCATGTGCGAGTCAGCCGGGCGGCAGCATCCGAGCCCTGCCCCCCAACGCAGGTCCAAGAACTCCGCGCGGAGCTCCGGATGTTTCTGCTCACGCTCATGCTTATGTTTGTGCTCGAGCTCACGTTTTCATGCTGCTGGGAGGTTTCCCGTGTCGTCGGGGACAGCTTGGAACGCCTCTCCGAAGGCCGGGGGACTGCCGAACCTTCTGAGAAGACCTTCTCCTTCTCGCGTCCCCAGAAAAGCCCAGAATTAAATCGATAAGTCGGATGGGCGGTCGAAATGAATCGGATCGTCAGACATCGGCAACCAAGTCGGGAAAAGTCGGATCGGGCGACATCGGCAGGCTAGTATGCCTCCAGTGAGAAAGCGGAACCCAAATCGGAATTCCAAGTCGAATCGACTCGGGATCGGAAGCCATCGAAGTCGAGTCGAATCGAATCGAACCGGAGGAATCGAAACGATCCCTGCTTCCCCTTGGTTGACCCCAAAAGGGGTCCAGCTGAAAGGAGACAATGCAATAGATTTGGGATATTGCATTGCAAATGTATTGCGCCGGAGAGTTGCATTGCATTGTATTGCATCTGTTGCATTGCACGCAGAAGTCAAGCAATACGTCTGCGCCCAGGAACGTACTGCCCGCCCCAAGTATACTGCAGCCCACAAATCTATTGCACCAGATCTATTGCACCAGCCTCCTGTCGGGGTCGTGCAAACACGGATTAACGATCCATGGACTTGGCGCGCGGTCGACAAATCCATGGATCGGGGGAGGTGCCCTCCCCAAGCTGCGGCCGGTGCCGCCTCGCTCGGCAGCGGATCATCCGCGATCTCCCACGGCGACGGGACCCGTCGCTCATCCGCGCCCCCATTGCTTACTCCATGCGTGCGATCGCCGGGTCCTGTAGCTGGACTCCCTCCTTTGGGCCCACACCAGTCGGGAGCGGCCAAGAGGGGGGTGTCCAATTGAGGGGGGGGTGCAAATCATGACCGGCGGCACGTGCGCGGCCCAGCGGGGAGGGGGCCAGGGACGTAATGAAATAAGAAGAGGCGCCGTGAGATCTGGGGAACCATCATGGCCCACGCCATGATATCCCCCCCCCCTAGTCACCAACCCCCTCTTTGCCGCCCCCGACTACCGGGCCTCGGGACTGTCAAACCACGGCTCAGGATGAGGAACCGGTCCCGGGGAATGGGTGGCGCCCGTGGAGGGCAGGCCCGCGGGGGGCTCGCGCCCTGTGGGGGGCCGCCGGGCTCGCGCCGATCGAGCTGCACGCGAAGGGCGTCGCCCTCGGCGGCATTCTGTGGCCCTCGTCCGGGATCGGCGCCGGGGGTGTGCAGGGGATGCCCAGCGGGCGGGGGCCGGCCCCGGGGTCTCGCCATTTTCGGCCTCATGTGGGAGCCCTTATACCGGGCCTCGGGACCGTCAACAAAAACAGCTCAGGATGAGAAACCAGTCCCGGGGAGGGGGTCGAGATCTCTGGGGGTCGACGTCGTGCAAAAGTCATGACGTCGGGGGGTCTGGGTCCGAGGCAGGCGGGGGTCGGACCACCGCCTGGGGGGTCGGCCTTCGGGGACGTCGGCGGGCGGCGGACATGGATCTGTAGTCGGGCCCTGGGCAGGCCAGACAGTCATGTCGGCATCCCACGGGCGGTGGACATGGATACCCATCGGTCGGAAGAAGTAGGCAGAAGCAGGAAGCAGGAAGGCGTCGAGGGTAGATCGGGTGTCCGCCCGCCCCCGAAAGAGGACGGAGAAGGGGAAGCCACTCGATCATGGAAGTAGGAAGGCACTCGAAGCAGATTGGAACCTGGGCCTCCAGAGAAGTGCTTCCCTTCAACGATCGATGGACACGTCCCTGCCGCGCAACAGTGAAGGGGCCCTGGGACACACAAAGAAATACACACAAATAACAGGATGCCCCACAATTCCTCATATTCTCAGGGTTTCTGTCTTCCCCCCACTTCCCAAATTTTCCCACATCTTCTGGGCAATCGACGACGAATTGTCTCTCTGTGTATTTTTTCCCCTCCCGAAAAACAGGTGCACCGCGGCTCGCCTCAGAGCTCGCCCGGCGCGCCCCCCAGGGACAGGACCTCGCCGATCCACGCGCCCAGCTGGTCGATCTCCGAGCTGGCCAGCTCGTGCCCGACCCCAGGCAGAGGCACGAAGCGCACGGGCACGCCGAGGCCCCCCAGCCTGCGCGCCGTGGCCTCGCCCCAGGCGAACTGGATGAAGGAGTCCGCCCGGCCGTGCGCCATGAAGACGGGGGGGCGGCGCACGCCCCGGGAGCCCTCCGCCAGGCGGTAGGCGGCGGCGTCGTCGCAGAGGTAGGAGGACAGCGCGAACACGGCGCCCAGGCTGCCGGGGTGGCGCAGCGCCAGCTGCAGCGCGATGCCGCCGCCCATGGAGAAGCCGCCCACCACGATGCGGTGGGCGGGGACCCCCTCCCTCTGGAGCCGCTGCAGGAACTCCAGGAGCCGCGCCACCGACGCCTCCACGCTGGAGGTGTCCTCTGGGATAAGACCGAGAGGCACCGATGCCGCTGCTCCCCTGACCTCTCCCGGGGTGCGCTCCAACCATGAACCTTCTCGCGAATCCAGCCGCGGCGGCGAGGGCCTCCCGGGAAACCCAAAGAGAATCAAGAGCGAGGCAGGCTGTTCCGGTGCCCCTTCTCTTCGCGGATCCTCGGGCGAGCTGGGCGGGAGCCCCGTGCGGTCGTACCAGACCGCCATCCTCCGCCCGCCTGCCAGCCGGTAGCGCCTCTCGCCGCTGTCCGGGAAGTAGGTCGCCACCCCGCGGGCGGCGAGCCCCCCCAGGAAGCGCCCGCCGTCCACCGCCCCGAGGTAGCGGCGCGGGAGCGGAGGGCGCCAGCTGGCCACCTGCCCCGATCCTGGCAGGGTTCGGCCCAGGCCGTACTTTCCATTCTCGTGTTGCTGTAGTTGTTCCTCGCTTCTGTCTTAGTTCTGCCTCCGCTGCAGCATGAAAGCACCATGGCAGCGGCCCGCGTTGTCGCCACAGCGCCATCTGGCTCGAGCCCTGGATCCTGGACAGGCCCATCCCAGGCCCGGGGTCGGTGCATGCGCCCTCCTGGCCTTGCGAGGAGGGCAAGACGCACCGAGTCTGGCCCTGGGGTGGGCTGGCCGGGATCGGTGTGGGTGCGCGGCTGGCGCCCTCCGAGCAGGCCCTCCCCCGAGTCGCCGCTACCATGCAGCAGCACCGCCGCCGCGGGCGCCGCCGACGCCGACGAGCGCCCCCCCTCTCGCGTCGTGATCTTGCCTGTGGACAGCGAGGGCCCCCAGAGGCCTGTCAACGCTCCTCTGGCGGGGGCTCCACCATCGGGCACTGTGGGTGGCGACCCCCCGCGGAACCCAGCCCAGCCCGATTCGGGCGACCCTGCAGTGCCCGAGAAAGGGGCCTCAGCGCAGCAACTTGTTCGGGGCGGGTTCCCGGTGTACCCGTCAGTGGGACCCCAGTATGATAACGCCGAGCCTTGACCCTTCCCTGGGACCTGTTTTCTCCGCCCTGAACCGTTTCGGTCGGGGGTCTCCTGACCCGGGTCAATCCAGACTTGGGTTAGTCAAGCCTTGCCGTGCAGAACCTGGAAATATTGAAGCGCATTATGATCAGATCGCCCCTCCAAAATAAGGCGTAAACACTCACGAACACGTTCTGTCGGGACCATCCAATCACGACGCCAAAGGGGTGTGGAGGCCTGCCACATGGGGTCCGAGCTGATGGGGTCAGTGGATCACGTCGCCCCTCGGACGCATCGGCGACGGCAGTGTCGCGATGAAGCAAGCCAGGCTCCACATCGAACCGCACCGCCGATGGATCGGCGATGTGGCGCAGTCGTCCGACCCGACTGAGGAGACGCAAGAGAAACAAACAACACATACTAAAACGATGCGCCCCGTTCAAACGCACGTCCGAACCGATCATCTGGTACACGCGCCGTACAATATACCGTTACCGAAACGATGTGGCTATACGTCGCCCGCCGCCGAACATGCACCATAAAATGTTGGAGCGCGCGCGAAGTTCTTGGGTAGCAGACGCACACATGTTATTGTTTGGGTGATGCTGGTTCGCAACAAGAGCCAAACTACAATAGCATTTTTCAAAAACATGCGACCATCCGCCGGTCATAACACAAACACTTAACACCCAAGGGTACCCTCCCCAAGACGCATAAGAACATCCAACAGACCCGAAAAAACATAGGGGACCCTCCCCGAACCGACCTCGATCGTATAGCTCGGTGCAACTGCACGACCCACGACCAGACATCCAACGAGGTGTTTTTGCATCCGCGGCCCCCCGCGAACTCGTACGCTTCCCGGGGGGGGCCTTTCAGGTCTGGACCCATGCCTGATGGTCCCAGGGCGCGAGGATGCGCCCCGGAGCCAAGTATCGATTCGAAAACGCCTGGCTTCAACAAGTGTTCGACGCAGAATTCCCCAAATGTGCACCTCATACTCGTGGCGCATCTCGCTAAGGTGCTTAATCTTTGATTATCAGGGTTGGAGAAGTCGGCTTCGACGACGGGGCGACAGAGATGGAGGCGGCAGCGACCGCTTTAGCGACGTCCTCCTTCTTTGGATCTCTTACGGGAGAGACGAGGAAAACGCGAATGCAGAAACGAAGGAGCGCGAATGCAAAAACGACGGGCACTTCCATTACTGCCATGCCCACTGCGGCTGGTCTGGCAAGAGCACACGGCGCGAATAAAGGAAACGCGCTGCTCGTTTCTCAGCGGCGTGACCAAGTCTCGGTCGCCACCAAAACGAGAAAACAGTCGGGATTGGGCGCGGGTGGGCGAAAATGCCGTCAGCGCCCGGCATCGGGCCCGCAACCTGGGCAAGATCGAGAAACCGTTCGGTTTGTTCTTTTGAGCCAGCGGGCAGCGAAGGGCTCAAGCGGCCACACTTCTTCAGGCAACGCTGTCCCGTACTCCTTGTCGAGGTCGAGCAAAAAGGCTCCCTCCACCGTCGACCTCTCAGATGCCTCGAAGGGTTCGAGAGCCTCCTGCGCTGCTTTCTGCGGACCTCTTTCCAGCAGCTCCCGGGGAGGCAGCCGCGCCAGCAGCGTGTCCACTATCCTGGGGGCGCGGGATATTTTCACATAGAGGTTCAACCACCATGCGTCGTCGTCAGCGCGGCGTTGCCCCCGCGGCGCCTGGCGTTCGTAATTAATGGTCGCTGCGCCGCGCATCGTCTGCCCCTGCGAGGCCGCCGTCGTCAGGTAGTGGGCTCGCGAAAGCGTGGGGCCGGAGCGTTTCACGCTGTGCGCCACGGACGACGCGTCCAAAGTGAAAGTGGTCTCCATCAGGTGCAAAACACAAACGCCGCGAACAATCTTCTCTCCGTTGCCTGCGCCGGCCATGGAATCGCTCCACGCGGGCGCCAGCTTGAAGTCATCGGCCTGCAACCACGTGCCTCGTCGGGGCGCGGGGCGGTCTGAAAACCTTGCCTGAACGCGCGTTGTTGTAATCCCTCTGGTCGTCCGTGTGGAAACCGAAGTCCACGATTGTGGCCCGCTGCTCCTGGACTTGGCCCGGTGCTCCTGGACGACGTCTACGGTCGCGGCGGAACTCAGTCTCAGTCCAACGTGGGCGGGGAGCGCGCCGTGCATCCTGCTTGTCTGGTAGATGTTGGCCACGTTCAGCATCCTGGAGTACACCGCCTTGCCCTCGACGGAGATGGCTTGTTGGCACTCGTCGGCGGCCTGCAGGAACACCAGCGGCATGCCGAGCACGCGGGCGTCGCGCCATGCCCTCCTGGTGATCCAGCGCGCAACAGGTTCCAAGTACATGGCCAAGCTGTAGTCTTCCAACGTTCAGCTGCGTATGCCGTGGGTGCAGCTTCGTGTCTGCGTCGGGGCGCCTGTCCTAGGCAGGCGCCCCCTCGACCTGTCGAACTGGACGCGCAGCTCCGCGGAATTGGAGAGAGATGCGGCACATCCTCAGACCTTGTGAGCGGTGGTCGGAGCGCCGCCACGCAGATCACTGCGAGGGCACGGCGGTGATACCTGCCGCAAACACCTGGAGCATACAAGTCCAAACAACAACTTCCCAAACAATGCTTGCCTGCCGGCCTCCGCGGAAGTTCGACGAGGGTGGCCTGTGCGCTTCCCATTGCACGCTGCGCCCGCCTCCGAGGCCGCCAAGCGTTGTGTTGTGTGCGATGCATAAGTCGCCATGCTTGCGCCGAGCGGTGCGTGCGATGCGATGCGCTTTCAATGCGATGCAACCACCGCGTCGGCACGCTAAGTTCAGCTGTTCCGCTGGCGCGCTGAAGTCGAAAGCCCCCGCCCCTGAGTGGGGGGGTGGGGTGAGAAACCCTAAACCCTAGAAGGATTTACGCTGGGCGGTCTGGGGCGGGACTACAGCTTCCGTGGCGCGCGCGGCTAGGGCAGCGAGCCCCCACAACAGTCTTGACGAAGGACGGATTGCAGCCATCGCGCGCATGCGCCAGCGCAAAGCGCGGGAGGCAGGGGCAAGCACACCGCCCGAGACGTCCCCTATACCCTTGGCGCGAGTCCTGGAACGTCCTGAACCTTGGCGGCCAGGGTGCCCGAGTGCCAGGCCGGCTGTACCATGCTGAGCAGTCCGCCGCCAAGCGAAACAGGTCTGGGGGGTACAAACACTGGCCATCGCTCGGACGTAAATTCCCTGCTCTTTTTTGTTCGGTTTCGTGCGTGTTTTTTTTCGCCAAATGGTCAAGGATGCTCCTCGATGGTTCTCGCCGAGAAAGGAATGCACACGTCCGAGCGATGCCAAGCACCACAATCTGGGCGCGAGTCCTGGAGGGTTCCCACTCCCGGCGGCTCCGCCTTGGGGTGCCCAAGTGCCACGCCTGCTATATCAAGGTGAGCATCGAACCATCAATATAGACAAGCCTGGGGGGGGCATAAACAGACCCTACTGCTCAAACTTAGCGATGGGTTCAAGGAGTAGCACTCAGACCGCAGGCTGCTTCGCGCGTGCCAACTTTGTCCACTACTTTTGGGGAAAAGGGGTGTCCACTACTATTTCAGATAAAAAGAATGCCAGAGCGAAGAATGCCAGCGCATAAGGCGCGCAAGGGGTCTTGTGCAAGGGGTCCACATCTATCATGCCTAGTCTCCGCCTCCTCCTCCTGAACGAACACGCGCGCGCGAATCTAATCCCAAAGGCCTTCACAATATTCCCGCACAGGACGGTCAATGTCCCCCAAAACCCTGCCTCCGCGCAGACACTCCATAGGCTCCAAGCAGTAACTGCTTCCCCTTGCCATCGCTCAGACGTTCGTTCCCCCTGCATTGTTCGGCTTCGTGCGTGCATTTTCTCGCAAGATGACCCCAAATGCTCCTCGATGGTCCTCGCCAGGGATTCACACGTCCGAGCGATGCCAAGTCCCTCCACCGTGACAAGTATGAATAAGGAAGGCGGATCAAGTAGATTTGGTCCAGGTCCTCCCAGATAACAGCAAAGCATGGTGGTTCTTGAAGTAGGAAGGCGCTAGAAGCAGATTGGGATCTGGGGGTCCAGAAATGCCTACTTTCAACACCCGACGGGTAACTGCTTCCCTTCATGCGTGCATCTTCTCGCGAGATGGCCCAACATGCTCCTCGATGGTCCTCGCCGAGAAAAAAAACACGCGTCCGAGCGATGCCCCTCCACCGTATCCAGATAGTCAGCGTTTTCTCTCTCGGCGTTTCGACACTGGGCGGAAGGGGAGGGGAGGGGGGGCGGTCTGGCTCCAGACCTCTGCTCAGTGCGACTGTTTGCATGGAGGGAGACCCCGCCTGCCCGAAACAGGCGCCAATAACAGCCCGGGTCCGCTCCACGGGGGGGGGAGGGGAGGGGAGGGGGTGACTGAAGGGGCCCAAGGACACACAAATAAATACGCACAAATAAAAAGATCCCCCTTATGTTCCCATATTTTTGGGGTTCTCGTCTTTCCCCCCCGCCCCACTTCCCATACTTTCCCATACTTTCTGGGGAATCGACGATTCATTGTGTCTGTGTATTTTTGCTCCCCCTC